AATTGGTAAAAGTAGAAGAGCATGAATTGGTAAAAGTAGAAGAGCATGCCCGAAATGTAGCACCAATCAGCAAAGCTAGAGCACTAGATAATGGTCAACGGGTGAGGAAGTGTAAGTCCAAAGGTATGAAATGTATAAATATTTAATAACTTTGATGAAAATTGTTTGTTTTGTGTGCTGAAATAACTGCGAATTTATAGGCGTTTTGCAACCTTTAGCAATAAAATACAACGCGAATACGCAAACAACCAGAAATATTACATCCCATAATTCGTCAAATATCCCTGTGCCACCGAGGATTAAGGTCATTTATATTTTCTATATTTTCTATTATTTTATGGTTAATGCCTTTATTAAACCTTTGAATATATATATAGGTTTCCGATGATGTCCTTCTTATTGGTACAGCATATAATAGTCTCGTTGTAAGTAATATCATCCCTTTTATCGAACTTCTCAAGACCACCTTATTAAAGGATGTCATTGTCTTCAGCCAATGAAGCGGTTCTTCAAGCTATTGTCAAGATTCTTCTCCCATCAAAGCATCGAGTGCCGGCGCTTTGTCTTGTAATAGATGGCAAAAAACAAAAAGGATCAGACCGTTTTGGTTTTCTAGATTTTTGTTCCGGGAGGAACTGAGAGAATGATGTTTGCATAGAACTTAAATATATTTCGTTAATCGGTCTGGTGAGAGATGCTACTGGAAATCAAGTAAGGAATTTTGGTGCTAATGAGTTGGAAACCTTAGATAAGATCCTTGAGGTGGAAGATGAAGAGTTTTTACTAAATAGACGATACGTTTATTGGTCAAAGGACCTTAAAAAAATGATGAATTAAAACAATTAAGATCATATATGAGTAGAGATGGCAGAAAAATGATTTTTATTGATTTAAATCAGGTGATGTTTATGATTAAATATGTTTAAACGTCGCATATAAATATTCAGATCATAAACTTCACCTGATTTAAATCAATAAAAATCATTTTTCTGCCACCCCTATATATGAGTACGATAGCAGAAGGTCATGCGGCTGGATATTCTAGTTCGGGGGTATTCGATGAATGAATTAAAATAATCAAATCAAGTCCCAATAAGCTAGAAGGAAGGTTCCGTCGTATCTTGTGGAGACCAATTGAAGAAATAATATCTAATAAAGAATTACATCTTTGTGAAACAGTTTAAGATATTTTCATCGAGTTCATATTAATATATGTTAATTGTTTTTGATCTTATAGGTTTCTCTTATTTGGCGCAATATCACGAATATGTGTTAACATAACTAATCGAGCTCAAAATCGAATATGAAAGTAAAAGGGTGTATTTTCGTATATGTGGTCAAGTCTAGAGGTGGGCACTATGCAGCATGGTACTTAATCGTCACAGATTATAATTTGTAAAGATTAACATCCGATGTGATTTTCATAATTTTAATCATGTAACAATTAAGCATCATGCTGCATAGTGCTCATCCCAGTCAAGTCTTCTTTTTTTGCTTCAAAAATTGTAATAAGGTTTAAATTTGGTTATAAATCGGGTAATATATTTTAGAAACGAGAGACGCCGATGTGGGTGAAAAGTTTGGTACCATAAGAAGTTAGCAAATAATTGGTAGTAGTGTGACCAAAGAAATAAATAATAACCAATACTTCTTTACACGATCGCGTTAAAATAAAAAATGGCGAAGTCACCGACCCCCTTCTTTATTAAATAAAAAATTGTTGCCGAAACAACAATATACAAATAAAAAAAATTATATTTATTTTTTATTTAACATTTTTTGGAGTTTACTATGATTTAACAATGAACTGTCATTAGATTTTGCTTTCAAAGTTACAGTATCGATTATCTTTTTCCATCTTGTGTTTCTTCATACTTTCCTAATTTAAATAAAATAAAAATATTACTTTAATGCTATCCAGATTAATATAGTTAACTATTTTTATTATACATTTTATCCCGACAATTTCACTTCACTCATCGTCGGCGTAGCATAACCAAAACATAATTATATACTATAAAGTTTTCTTACTAGTTTGAATAATTTCCACGGGTTTTGGTTTTGGTTTAGATGGAGTTGGGAGGACCCTGAACAATTCTAATGGAGGTCATATTTGAGCAATTAGCAGTTTTTCTGCAATTTGATTGGATAAAAAAATTTTTAGCCAATCAAATTGCTTAATTTTGCAAAATTTTGACCTCTGT